TGCCTTGTAAATGGGATCCATGTACTGGTTTAATAGATAGTTCAAGTTGAAACTGAACTTAATCAGGGAAGAAATTAGACAAAGAAGGAAGATTTTTTTTTCCCGCAAATTGTCCACAATGCGTTTTAATGTAACTTTACTCCTATATAACATTTATTGTTATTCACAAGCAACAGAACATTCCTAACAGCTAAATTTGTGCCAGTAACAAAAGAAGAAAATCCCAAGTCTATTAAAGTTGATAGGAAAAGGCAAGGTGTGCATACCCCTTGCATAAAAGATGCACTGGAATTCATCACATAAAAAAATATGGAGAAAAATCCAACATCCTTAATGGATGATGATAAAAGAAACAGATTAATACAGGACTTTCCCCATGGGTTTGTAGGGGTAAGGCTGCAGATAATTAACCCTCCTGAGACCCTGCAATTGCAGGAGATTGCAGAAACCACATTGCACTGGATGTGATGTATAGAGCACCTAATGATGATTCAAATATACATACACATCAAAGATCGAAGTGAACCATCTAACACGTATTAAAGAAATGCTAGTAGACAGTACAAATCTATGACCTAGCCTAGAAAAATCAAAAAGCGAACAGTTAACAGTACAAAGTGCACCTGGCCGAAGCCAAGGGAAACAAGAAGTGTAATAAATACAAACCTGATTCTGACTAAAGAGAAGAAAATATAACAACTTCATCCATTGAGCATTTTTGCTGTGGTTATCCAAATATTTTCCAATTGTCCTTTGGAGGTAAGCAAGCTTTGTTATAGTTTCTATGTTCAATTTACCAGATGAAGACAATAATTGATAGATAGAGAAATATCTGCAATTTCAAGTTAATGCAGGATATCAGGAAAATGCATACAAGTTTAACTAGACAAACTATAAAACCAATACTTTTAGCATTCAACTACACTTTCAATCTCTATAACACCCTTCTACAGTAGACAGGCCTACAAATCTTATAACCAACCTTCAATCATGCATTTAGGTGATTGATACTCTGGAAGAGATGCAAGAACGACATGATGCTGTCAAGGAGATTGAGAAAAAGCTACTTGAACTGCATCAGGTAGCTGTTACCTCCAAACTGTTAAATATGATGCGGAAATTAATCATTCAATCTCTCTATTTTTTCCTTCGTCACTAGGTTTTCATGGATATGGCAGTATTGGTGGAAGCACAAGGGGAGATATTAGATAACATTGAGATTCAGGTTTGTGTTTTTATGCCAAACATAAGAAACTACTACTGGGCTAGAGAATGACAGGGATAAGTAATTTGCTTTCTTCAGTGTGGATGCATTTATTTTGCATGCCGACTTTGAGAATGGCTATTGATCTATGCTTAAAGAACACGTCATATAAAATAACTTTTTTGTTTATATTAGCACAAATGCCGTTTTAATAACAATAAGGAAAAATCAATGTAACACTAGCATCTCATAAAATTTTCTTCTCTTGCTGCTATGTTTCATTATAATGCCATTGCGTTGGAAATATGGTTTCAGGTGAGCAATGCAGTGAACCATGTACAATCTGGAACGGAAGCACTCCATGTCGCAAAGAGCCTCCAGAAGAACTCAAGGAAATGCATGATGATTGCCATTACAATCCTTCTGATAATTGCAATCATCATTGTACTTTCAATCCTAAAGCCATGGCAAAAGAAATAGAAAGATATGCACGTATTTGGTCTCAGTTCTCTTCTTCTGTTGACTCGTGAATAAAGAAAATAGTGAGCATGTAACCATGTATAAGTTATAATCCCCTATTCTTTGTTCTTTCAATAAACTTATCAGGTAACAATGAAGAAGTTGATTCCTTGGATTTTTCCTTGATTTGAGAGTTGATTTAGTACATCTCGGGGTTTCACTTTGCAACTACTCGTTATCTTCTCCTTGGGAATTAGCAATAGCAAGAACTCAGTGAGTACCCAAATGAGGCATATATAGCATATATGTTTATTATTATATCATGATGTGTAGTTCTACTCGTTAAACTATTTTTCCTCAATGCATCTTAAGTTTTTTCAATTTCATGTGACAGCGTTGGATCCTTAGGAAACTTCCTAATATATGACTTTTGACTAGAGAAAAGTTGGCATGAACATGAAGACCCAACGTGCTGCACATGCAAGCTCCTATACATCATGCACACACATCTTTCCTATTCATGTTGTGCGCAGCAGAATCCGAAACACAACAAACGAACGAGATAGGAGAACAAATCAACAACCAAACACAAGCACCACACAGCAAGACACCAAATTTTACGTGGTTCGGCAATATGCCTACGTCCACGGGGCAAGGAGGTGGAAGATTTCACTAATAGAGAGAGAGTTGAAATAAGGTTTACAATCACTCAATAATCTCACAAAATAACCCTCAAACAAAACTCTCAAATCCCTCACAAATTCTCCATTTCTAAGTGCTCAAACAATGCTCAAATCTCAGCTCTTAATCTCTCACATAACCTTAGAAAACGTCATGTTCCTATTTATATCAAATAGGAATCCAAAACCAACTGGGAAAACCGACCAGGCCCATAATCGCGATCCGATCGATCGAGACTATGCCTGCGGTCAACCGGCCAGAGGGTCAATTTTTTACCCTGTAAATTCCACAACAATCGGTCGACCGTATAGGCTTGGCCGGTCGACCGACCCGAACAGTGTTTTTTGAACACTATAATGTGCACGGATTCGGTCGACCGGCCTCAAGTTCGCGGTTGACCGACCTACAACAAAAAACGCAGTCTTCGTTTTTCCTGATCCTCGTCGCTGTTTCTTCAAATCTCTACCTCGACGAAGTTTTTCCTAAAAACTGAGCCAACCTCAATACCAACCACCCTACTTGTTGCATCCACTACGAAGTGGAATCAATCCATAAAAACGGACGCAATCCACAATAAGTCAGGAACCCAAATGAGAACTCTAACAAGGATCTTCACCGTGTCGGTATCAACTCATCAAATTGGCTGTATCAAACTGACTGCCTACGTATCATCTTGCTCAAGGAATCAAGCCTCACGTAGTTCACCCAAATGGCCTCGAAAGACCCTCAACAACAAAGAATGTTCAACTCCGAACAATGACCAAATTTCACCCTAGTGATAACTTTGGTCAACAAATCTGTCGGATTGTCCTTTGTGTGGATCTCTCTAATATAATGTCTCCATCATCCAAGACATCTCACACAAAATGGAACCTGACATCAATGTGCTTTGTTCGAACATGATACACCTGGTTCTTTGCCAAATAGATAGTTGATATGCTATCACATTTTACCCTAATGGTATCTTGTGCAATCCCCAAGTCATCTAATAACCCCTGCAACCACAGAGCTTCCTTCACAGCTTCAGTCAACGTCATATACTCTGCCTCCGTAGTAGAAAGAGTCATTGTAGACTGAAGTGTACATCTCCAACACATAGTACTCCTACTAATGTAAACACACATCCAGTAGTAGAACGGTACTTGTCAAGATCCCCAGCATAATCCGAATCTACATATCCAACACAATCCTACCCATTTCTCCTATTCTTCTCAAATACCAAACCAACATCCACGGTACCTTTGATATACCGTAAGATCCACTTCACGGCCTCCCAATAACCCTTCCTGGGATCGTGCATATACCTAGACACCATGCTCACTGCCCGTGATAAATCTGACATTGTACACACCATATCATGCATCAAGATACCCACAACACTAACATATAGAACTTTAGATATATATTCACTGTCATCAACTGAAACAGATGACATCTTAGCTGATAGCTTAAAGTTAAGAGCTAATGGAGTACTCACCGTCTTGGCATTACCGTCAAAACTGAATTTCTTCAGCATTTTTTATAAGTAACTCCTCGGAGTCAACTTGAACCTCCCCTTCCCCCTGTCTCTCTTAATTTCCATACCTAATATTTTCTTTGCTTCTCCAAGGTCCTTCATCTCAAATTCGGATGACAACTCCTTTTTAACTTTCTAATAGCTGAAATATTCGTGAAAGCAATGAGCATATCGTCAACATATAACAACAAATAAATATACTCATCATTTTGTAGCTTGTGCATGTACACACACGGGTCATATAGGCTCCTAGTATACCCTTGGCCAATCATGAAACTGTCGAATCTCTTGTACCATTATCACAGTGATTGCTTCAATTCATAAAGAGATTTCTTCAGTTTATAATTTTACATACTAAATCTTTCTTACCTGTAGCTCTAAAACATATCGGTTGTGACATATAAATCTCCTCTTCTAAATCTCCATGTAGAAAGGATGTTTTCACATTCATTTGGATCAAATCTAAATCCAGCTGTGCTACCAATGCTAATAGTATTATTATTGATGAATGCTTTATAATAGGTGAGAATACATTGTTGTAATCAATGCCCTCAAATTGGGCATACCATTTGACAACCAATCTGGTTTTGTATCGAATGTCCTCATCAGAAGATCCTTCTTTCTTTGCATATACTCACTTGCATCCAATTGCTTTCTTACCCTTTGGTAATTTTGTAAGTTCTCAAGTGTCATTCTTTTGAAGAAAATGCATCTCCTCCTCCATAGCTTTCCTCCACCTGATTGAATCAGAACTTGACTTTGTTTTCTTATATGTAGTAGGAACCAAATCATCAATGACCTTCACTGATAAAGCATATGCTATCATCACATCATCATATCATATCTAGCTAGCCGACAAATGATTCTTCTTGGTCTATTAGCTGCAAATGACTCCTGAACATGATCCTGATCCTGAGTCCCAATATCCACTATATCCTCCACCTGTTCATCTATCATATCTCCTCCTAGTGTCACCTTTTTAGGAGCATCAATGGATACAATGTCTATCTGAAGTCTGTGGAGTCACATCATCTTCCACCTCCTACGATACCCCAGTAGTCTTGCCTTCCTCCACCTGCTGAGAGATCTGAGGCCTCATTATGTGAGCCTCATCAAACGTGACATCTCTGCTAATGATCATCTTCTTATCTTCTAGATCTCATAACTTGAAGCATTTAACTCCATCTCTAAAACCCACAAAGACCGCTTTTCTAGCCCTCGGATTCAATTTCCTATCATTCACATGATAGTAAGCTAGACACCCAAATATTCGAATCAAATCATAATCACTAGCCACTGAGTCAGACCATACCTCAATAAGAGTCTTTCCATGTATCGCAGTGCACGATAACCTATTCACGAGATTGCTCGCATAAACCAACGTCTTGGCCCAAAAGGATCTAACTAATCCACTCTGTGAGAGCATACAACGCACCTTCTCCAGCAAAGTGCGATTCAATCTCTCGATCATCCCGTTTTGTTGCGGTATCTCCCTAACTGTGAAATGGCGTCTAATGCCGTGATCCCGATAAAACTGCAAAAATAAATCACTCTTGTACTCACCACCATTATCAGAACGGAGTACTTTCACCTTTCAACCTGTTTGCAGCTCCATTTTTTTTCATTCCATAAAAATATCCAGGACCTCATGTTTATATTTTATGGTATATACCCAATTCCTTCTGGAATAATCATAATTAGCCCCATCAAGAGATGTGTTTTTGGAATGACCCTAAACATCTGTATGAATGTAATCTAATATGCATTGGGTGTTATGAATTGCGGTGCCGAATTTTACTTTTGTCTTCTTTCCAAGTATGCAATATTCACGTAATTTCATCTTGTAGGTCTTTGACCCTTCAATAGCCTTTATTTCGCCAATAACTATAGGGGTTTATCACCAGTGTGTCACAACCTCATGTGCCATAGACTGGTAGTATCCTCCCCTGTGGTAATAGAAGTTGTCAGACTTTTTGTTACTGTCTTGCCCTTCAAATAGTAAAGATTGTTTTCCTTGACACCTCTCATCACCACCATGGACCCCTTTGTGACCTTTAG